TAATGGTAACATTTCAATTCCTATTTATTGGGCACTATGATTTCCTAAACTCTAAGTTGTTTATTCATCTTTTGACCATTTTTCTCCTGGGTTATTTTTTAGCTTACTGACATACAGAAATTATTTATACAACTTAATACTGATTCTCTTTAAGCTATATGTATGATAAATATCTTAGCTGTGTGTTTTTATTGTGTTGACTTTGTCTTTTGATCAACAGTTTTCACATTCTTTATCCAAGAAGACCTCATGGCGGAATGGTAAGCACTTAACTTCACTGCGTACCAAATGATTGAGGGCTTGAACCAAGCCTCTCTGTGAGAGAAAGATGAGGTAGGTAGTCAGCTTCCATCGAGATTTACAGCCTCGGGACATTTGTGGGACAGTCCTGCTCTGTATTATAAGGTTGATATAAGCTGATATTGCCTTATAGCAATGGGTTTGGGTTTAAATCTTTAGAGTTTTTTAATCTACTTAAAATGGATTTTTATGAGGCCAAGTAAAAGTTTAAATTGTTTACATAAAACCAATTAAACAACCCAAACCTACATCCTTTGAGTCTATTCCCTTTGAGTCTGAACCCATCAACACACCTGATGGGTTCAAAGTCCCAATCTTTCAGTTAGCCACCAACAGTTGTATTCTAGAAGCATTTAAGCACCTGCCTCTGTCCATCCATCTCCCCAAGGGTTCCTCTTTTTCACTGACTTTCCACTTTACCAAGCATGTCGTCAACCAGGTCATAGCCAAGGAGGCCTCTCTGTGGGCATGGTCTTGCCCTGAGGATTCGGGGAATTCTAGTATTTCTGCTTGGAGGCAGGATACACACTCTTTCTCTCTGCTCACCCTCTGGGAGACATTGCAGCTGACAAGACACATGAAACTATGCAATGCCCTGAGCTGGAGGAACCATACCACACAGAGACCTCTGCCAGCGCGGTGCTGCTTATACCACCACTGGATCCACAAGACTTCCCACCCATTGGCCTGTGATCTTCCTGCATTTGGGAGTCTGTAGAGGACTTTATAGATTGGTACCAGACATATGGGCTATTATTGGACTTATGGACTTGATCTGGACTGGGCGGGGATGTTTTCTCAATATGCAATTGCTCTTGTATATGAAGCTCTTTCTTATACACGAGTGTCTATGAATTTGTTTCTCTAGACTACCCAGACTAACACAAACAGCTAACCAAAGATCAGCAGTTCAAACTCACTAGTGGTTCCAACAGAGAAAAATGAAGCTGACTGCTCCTGTAAAGATTTATAAAACTTTGGGAACCCTAAATAGGGTCATTATGAATGAAATTAACTCAATGGCAGTGGATTTTTTTTAATGCTTTGTTTTTAAGTATATAGAATTGTAGAGAGCTGCAAACCTGTGTATGAGATTAACACTAATTGCAGGGCAGTGTTTATGTTTATTTAAATATATATCTATATATTATGGTAAATCATTTAACATCACTATCTGGAATGAAGACACATTTTAACTCAGATAAAGATGAAGGAAATCTAAAAGAAGAGGAAGGCCAGCAAAAATTGATGAAGGTAAAAAATACAAAAATTTCTTAAAATTACATTTCTGAATCAAGTAAAACAAAACTCTTAAGATATAAAAAAGGTTGATAATATGCATGTAGGTGTTCATTATACAATCTGCTTTTCCAAAGAAGAAAAAGTTATTCTGATGGCAAGGTGGAAAATGGGCTAGAATGAGAATTCCACATTGAAACAGGAGGGAAAAAAAAAATATTGCTGAAACCCAGTAAAAAAGTCAAGCAGTACATGTGTTCCTTTATGGAGCCTGTTGAGCTTGAAGGGCTCGTGGGCTACATCAGTGGGGAGAACCAATAGGAGGTAGTGTGGGGAGTTCAGCCTGCAGTCAGGTGTCCTAGACTCACATCCAAATTCAGCCACCGAAACAAGTTTACTTAATCTCTCCAACTCTCAGTTTTCATATCTTTAAAAAGAGAGGAGACCTATTAATAAGAATAAATATTCCCATACTTTTTGATAAGAACAGAATTAAATAATGTCTGTCAAGCACTTAGCGAAATAAGTTACAGACTGATTGATAATTATCTACAGCTATCATAACTACTGTTCTTTCTCACTTCTGTGTCACCCTCTATTAATATACAGCCCTTAGAATTCTTGAGCAATTCCTGAGCACTTATTTCTAAAAATTATATTTTGTTGTATTATACCCTATTAAAAATGATTAAATAATTTCATTGAAGTCAAGAGTATTTTCAAACTCAAAGCATAATAATTATAGGATATAGCATTCTTGAAAATACTATCCATGAGATTCAAGCCCAAACTCTATGAAACATATACAGATTCAACAGTTATCTAATAGATATACATGAAAAGCAATATGCGAGGCATATAGGGGTAATAACAATAGACAATGTAGGCAAGATGACAGTCTGAAAATACTTTGCTATCAAATAATTACAATGAAATGTAACACAAGCTAAAACAGGAGGCAAAGAGCACTAAAGAAGACGGACAAAAAGGACTCTCCCAGAATTTAAGGGATAAAGGGGAGGTCAGTAACATGGCAGAGTAAGGTAGGAAGACGAAAGCTGGATTTAGAAAAAATAATGTCCCATATTCAAACATTCCAACTCAATAGGGAATACTGTTCAAATAGGTGAAAATGGTCTAAAAGCCATTTAGTATAGTGTGTAAGGTATGGATCACTGAGGCAGGAAGTTAGTAGCATGCACAAAAAGAAATTGGAAAGAACTTTTCAGTCATGCTTTCTTTGCTCCGTTCCATTAAATGAGATGATGTTCGGTGGTTAGCACAGTTCCTGATACAAAATAAATGCTCACTAATTGTTAAACTTCATTTGCTTAATAAGGCTTTGTGTATTTTTCTCTAATATACTCCCCTTTTAATCACAAATTGTATTTCAACTATAAACCCATCAAAAATTACCCACCTAATTCATCTTCCTTAGTTTATTGGCAGAAAAATAGCTTACTTACTATACACCTTAGAGACTGTTCTCCTTTCTATAAAATGAGAACACCTTTATCATCTTGGGGTGAAGGGTGAGAGAGCGTAACGAGTCCCTAGAAAAGTGTCCGATTGCTGCTCCCCAGTCAAAATCACGCTTGCATTAAGGCGGGTAAGCAAACAGGCCAGAGAAATAGAACAGTGGGACATTTAAGCTTCATTTTGGTATTAAACAATAGGAATGCTTTAGAACAAAGTGATCTTAGGACTGAGCTTCCTTTTGCAGTAGGGTTAAATGCATGCCCTCCCCAAAATCAGAGTTAAAAGAAACATCAGCAGTCTGACAACACCAGCTTCCTTTTACATAAGCTTTTTCAAGCAAGAAAACTTTATGTTCTATAATTCACTTTTTCCACAGAAATCCCTTATTGGTCATATATATCTCAAATATTCTGAAATATAACTTCCGAAATCCCATTTCCCTGAACAACTAGTCTCAGTTTACATATATTTTTCTAAGTACTTTAAACACAATAATCTGAAGCCTTTTCTTATTTAATATTATACTACTCTGATTTAAGATCCAGACCATATGTGTATCAGATTACTAATGTTATATACTATTGCAAAAGCAAAATAATAAACACTCTTGGGACATTTAAAACAACACAATTTATAATAATTCATTTATACTGAACCTGTGAGTAACAGAGTTGGGAATTAAACCACGATTATCCTGGGTAAATATCATACCATGTAATTTCTGCCTGGTCTACTGTAAAACTGACAACCGAAAGCTTTCATTTCCACTGCTTCCTAATGATCTTACTCAATGAAAGCAAAATTCTGTAAAAATTTTGTTAATATTAATCCTAAATGTCAATTAAATATCACAACATATTTGACAATGGAAGCATCAAGCTACACTACTTTCTTAAAGACTTAAGAAAATGTTACCCATATAAAAAATGATCTTCAAAAAGGACAACAAAAAATTCTGACACTAGTATACAATTATTATCACAAAGTCATAAATGAACTGTTAAGCTAAATTTCCTAGATAATATGTTCAATTCAATGTTAATAAAAAGCTTCACTTAGAATTTTCAGATAAGAAATCCTTCTAAATTTCTCTTACAAACCATAAATCCACACAAAGTAAGACTGTCCTTAAGATTTCTGAACAGGTAGTTTTGGAAACATTATTACAGGAAGATGGGGGATGTGGGGGGAGGGTATCTCTTAAAGCTCTTACTTAGTGCCACGTACTCACCGCGGTCAGTCCATTCTGACTCACAGCGATCCGATAGGACAGCAAAGAACTAGTCCTGTGGGTTCCCAAGGCTATAGCTCTTTACAGGAGGAGAAAGTCGCACTATTCTCCCTCAGAGCAGCTGGTGGTTTCAAACTGCTGGCTTTGCAGTTAGCAGCCCAATGAGTAACCACTAGACCACCAGAGCTCACTGTCAGTGCCACAGTACTTCTCAGGATCTATTTCTAGTTCACATAAATCCACAATAAACTCTCACTGTGCCTCAAAATCAATTATATCTAAACTAGCAGAGATTACCTTTCAATTATCATATTACAAGTACCTCCCAAATTAAAGTAATTTAACTCTTGCCTCTGAAGGTCACATGCTAGCCCTCACTACTTATTATTTAAAAATGCCAACTGATACACAAAACGTACTCAAAACCATGTACCCATAAAACAACACATCCTCAAAAAACTCCAGAACTATTAGGAGTAGATCTTATATGCTCAGTATCAAAATACATTGTTTAAAATTATTTTAACTATTTAATGACTACTCATTTAAAAAACATCTGTCAAAAAAGGTAAATCTAAGCATAAAACAAGCAGATTAACTTCATATCCCTTTCAACGCCAATCCATCAACTGATTTTAATGGATCTAACTAATTTCATATATAAGAATTTCCGAAATATATCATTTGGTGTAAGACTAGTATGTATTTTCTTCATCTTCTATTTATATTTTAATCTCTAGTAAAAACCTACCTTTGAGGTTCTTTGGAGTTGATCACCAACATATGTTTTACGAAACTGATCCAAGAACCACAGGATTGCGAGCTCTATTTTCTCATTAGAACACTGAGGCTGTCCGGTGTCCATTAAGGATATAAGCTGAAAAACCCTTTTCATGAGGGAAAAAATAACTTCAGTAAAAGTTCTTTAAGAACATTAAAACATCTATTGTCAATTTAATTGCTGCAAAAAAAAAAGACAATACAAAAGCACAAAAAGAACTTTCCTTTAAAACATGTGAAACTCTACCAATAAGAAGTAATAACCTGGACTAATTACCTAGTCTATTTTATGAATATATACACAGACATGCTTATATACATGCATATGTATACATACATATATTTTCTTATTGTAAATTTATGTTTTTTTCTTTTTTTAGATCAATATTTATTCTTCGATGGCCCTCATAACAAAAATAGATCTTTTATATTTATTTATATATGTGGAAGTACATGACATTTATAAAACTGTATTATATATAGGTAAATATGTATAGATATACATTTTTTAGTAAAAGGGTGATTATTGAATTTGTAGTTTTGAATTTTACTCTTCACTTACCATTGGGTTTTAATAAACATTTAAAAATCATTTACTGAAAATTCAATAACTATAAGTAATGAGAAAATCTTACCTGTAATAAACAAAACAAATATTTTTAACATCATTATACAAATATTACTATCAGAGAAACATAAACAAAGGTTAAAGTTCCTATAAGTAAAAAATCTAATGTAATAAAAAATGTAGTCTACGATTTTCAAAAAAAGGAATTCTTCAACATTATCTATTTTCATTAAAATTTTCCAGGGAATGGCTGGCATTAACAAATGGCCAATTAACAATGGCCTTGCATTAACAAAATCGGCACATATCATTTGCTTAATAAACATCAGTAGAGTGAACCAGCAACCAGCATTCCTTTCTAATTTGTACAAAAGTAACTATGCCTAAGCCTAACTCACCTAGTTCTTTCCTGTTATGCACGTGTGAACATATACACACATTTACTAATAGCTTGTGTCTTTTAAGGGATTTTTTTAAAATGCATAAACAGGGGCCTTCACCAAGTTCATGAAAAAAATTCCATGATCATTTAATTGCATTTTTCCATGATCTTTTTGGAAACCCTTTGTACAAACAATACAACTCTATATTCTTTTCCCAACCCTTTTAAACACAAGGAGCAAACTATACACATAATTCTATCACCTAGCTTTTTTCTTTAGAATATATCTTAGAGATCTTTCCATGTAGGACCTAGAGAATGTCCTTAATTTCTTCTGCAGCTACTTAACATGATCTGAAGGTACCACAATGTTCTCAAGCATTCCCCTATTGATGGACACCAAGGCTGTTTATAACTTATTTCCTGGAAATGTCATTTCACATATACAATTAAAATAGCCATTGCTAAAAGTCAAATTAAAGAGTCTGATGGCACAGTAGGCTAAGTACTGAGCTGTTAAATAAAAGGCAGGCAGTATGAACCCACCAGCCACTCCTTGGGCAAAAGGAAAACCTGCCTTAAAAGCGCCCAGTCGTAGAGCCTCACGGAGCTGTTCTACTCGGTCCTCTTGGGCCCGAGAGTCCGGGTACAGCTGACAGTTGTTGGTGAAAGTTAAACTGCTAGCTCAGGTTATATACATCATTTTCATAGCTATTACCACGTTGCCCTCTATAACGGTTGAGCCATCTTAAGACTTCTATCACTAGTAGTGCGTATACATAGTTAACCGAGATAATTCATGATGACATTAAACTTTAGAATCTCTGTAAATCTGAAAACTTGCATCTCATTTGTACTTCTCTTATGAAGGTAAAAATGTCCCATGTCCTGAAGCTATCTGTATGCCCTCTTCTGTGGTTTGTTCATGTCCTTTGCCATTTTCTCTATTAGGTTGTCTTTAGATAGCTGCCTTCCACAAAGTATTTATATATTAGCAAAATCTAAGCTCTTTATCTGTGGATGGGTTGTGAACCATTTCCCATATTTTTCATTTGTCTCTTAACTTTGGTTATGGTGTTTAACACCATGAAGTTTTTGTTGATGTCTTATTGAATCCTATATTCAATTCTACTACTCTTTAACTTAGTAATATATCTCAACTAATTCTTTTTTCACATTATTAAAAATTTTCTGGAAAAATGAGGAAGAATTCCATTATCAGTTAATTCCATTTTCCACCCAACTTTGTGAAGCTCCCTTGTACATGAAACTTCATGTCTTCACCCACATGACCATCAAGTTCCTTTAAAAAGCCTATCATGTTTAAATTCTTTATTAAGTAGGACTTTTCAAGTTACTAATTGATTACATTTAATTTTATTTTTATTCTTCCTTTTTATAGCATACATGTTCAAACAAAAAGTACGTCAAAACCTAAAGGCAGTTTGCTAGGATGCTTTTAATAGGTCACATTAAACTGGTGAGCACATGAACAAGAAAGAATCACAACGAAGTACTTGATCTATTTAAAAAGGTGTTTTACTGGTTGTATTAATTAAATAAGACCAGGTTCAGCTGCAAGAGACTAAAACCCAAGTTAACAATGGCTTACACCAGCAGTCGGCAATCTATGGCTCTCAAGCCATAAGTGGCTCTTTCAGTACATGCAAATTAGCTCTGAGATAAAAGTGAAAAATCTAGGATACTATTCAAATAATGGTGAGTTTATTTATTGGTAGAAGTGTATTTATGGCTCTGTCAAGTAATTTTTAAATTGTCGTGAGGGACAGGATTGTTCTTCTGTCTCAAACATTTGCAAAATCCGAGCAGTGCCCCAGGGCCAGATGGTGCTCCTTGGCGTGGCAGGGACGCAGGTTCCTTCCACCTTGTTGTTAGCACTTGCCGCTAGTGAACAATCTTCTCGTGGTCTCAGATAGCTTCTTAAGCTCCACCCATTATGTCCAAATTTCAGTCCACAAGAAGATGGGTCCCACAATTTGGATACACAATTTTTATTTACATCCTATTTCCCAGAACAAAACTTAATCATACCCTAGATCCAAGAGGTATAGTAAATCTAGTCTTTATTTAGACCAGTGGTTCTCAACCTTCCTAATGCTGCGATCCTTTCATACAGTACCTCATGTTGTGGTGACCCCCAACCATCAAATTATTTTCATTGCTACTTCATAACTGTCATTTTGTTACTGTTATGAATTGGGCGACCCCTGTGAAAGGGTCCTTCGACCTCCGGGTTGAGAACCACTGACTTAGCTGGTTATATATCCAGAAAAACAATCTGATACTATATTACTATGGAGGAAAGAAAGACGATACTGGGGACAACTAGCAGTCATTGACTGCCACCGTGCCCTTTGTCGATGTGTAGTAACCTCTACCAGTGCCTAAGACCAAGGCTTGTATTGAGTATGGGATTCAGCTGGTTGGCAATGATTCGGCAGAACCAATACCTAATTTTCTGTTGAGTTTGGTGAACCGGTTGTGCAAATGACCCTTGTTATCAGGGTATAATCTAAGGTAGGTGGCTGGGTAGCCACCAAATGTGAAAATCACAAGTTTACATTCCTTACTCTTTTTTAATGTTCATCTGTGTAACAGCATATTCTAAACACCTGTAGTAATGTTCATTCCATCCTTAGTTATAAAAATTAAACAATAATGCTTATAATATTTACTGATTCCACAGTACTCATTATACTTCTGATTTAAACGCTACATTTTTATTCCCTTGTGTTTGTCACTTCAGTAGCATACAACATACTGAAAAAAATGCCAAACAGTCTTGTCACTTGTTTCAGCTTTGTGTTACGCTACAAATTCACATGAGATTGTATAAGTGAATTTTGCAATTCATGAAAGTGTTCAAAGAGCTAAAAATATTGTCAGAACAACTGCTGTTAAGTTCAGCAAAAAGTAGAAATATTTTTTCAAAGACGAACATATTATGTTCAGAGAAGAGAAACTGCCTGTTTCAAACACATGAAAGAAAATGACTATTGTCTGAATGGCCTACCTCTAAAGGAATGGAATCCTATTACTGGATTGAAAAGATAGTTAAGGATAAATCACATAGCCAGTGAGGCTCCAATAAAAGCAAAGAATATTACAAGTGAGGACACCCATCAAGAAGTAACACGGAAGTATTTTAAATAGCAGTTCTATTGTTTTTCTGTCAGGTATTATTTAATACTTTTTCATTATTTAAAAAAATCTTTCTATCCTACTAGTGAACCTAGTGAATTTTCCGGTTTGTATCAGATAATGTTATTCCCTTCTTTTCGACCCTTAGGTCTCCAGGGGCTTCCTGACAGACTTGAGAGCCAAAGTCTGAAGTCCTCACTACGAGTCAAGTGAGAATACGCTACTTTCTTTCTTTCTTTTTGAATCAATCATTTGGTTTACTACGCATGGAATGACAAATCCAGGAAGTTATCACATTCATTTGAAAAAGGAACACTTCAATATCTATTATTTTATTTTATTTTTTTCCAAAGTTTATTGGCACATAATTTATGTAGCATACAATTCAGTAGGTCAATCATTCAATCATATCAAGGGGTATTGTACAGTCACCACCATATCAATCTTAGAACACCCCCCTACCATGGATTTTAAATTAGTTATGTAATCACAATCAGTTCTTGTGCCCCTCCCCCAAGAATATGCTACTTTGTGATATCATGGTAGACCCTTCCTTGTCCATCTTAATCACTGGCAGTCTTATTACAGGACTGTCATTTTTTAATGATGGACAATTATTTTATAGCATAAATGTTGCCTTCACTCACACACACAC